ATATATATATATATATATATATATATATATATATATATGTGTGTGTGTGTGAGTGGGTGCGTGCGTGCGTGCGTGTGTGTGTGTGTGTGTAAAACTGTAATCACTTATGTGAACTAGTAGCGACCCATGTCTCTTCAAGAAGACGAAGGTTTTTTAAGGCCTTGGGAAGCATCATTACCGAATTATGGTCGATGGTAAAATGTGTTGCAACGCAATGTATTTTGCTATTTCCCTTCGTACCATACTTCTACGAGTACATAGTTTCGTCTGAAATGTTTGACGCAGCTCAGAGCGGAGAAATTTCCAATCCAGCACACCCACAATGTTTTGTGTCGATGGTTTCTTATAAATGACACAAAACTGCAAACTTTCTTTAGTATATTTTATATATAACGTACAGGACCCTGAACCACTTACATATCACTCAAAGATCTTGAGAATGGACTTTCCATATTTTCGTGGCAGTGATTATTATTATTGTTAATCGTCCTGCGACTGTTTAACGCCGCTGCGCAGGCATTGTCGGGCTGCGGGCGGTCTATGGGATAACCGCCTTGACAGTGTTTTTGCACAGCGTAAAGTACCTTAGTGTTTACTCTGTTAACCTACTTTGAGCCTCCAATAGGTTGAAACGTTAGTGAAAATCGCTACTCCACCAATTTTAGAGAATGTAATCACGTGACTTCGGCCCGCAACAGACTACACTGAGGAATATTTTTCCAGAAATGTGGAAAATCGAAACAAAGAACACTTATCGACTCCCTTACACTTGAAAGAGTTTTCTCGTTCGCCACTGCAGAAGCGAAAGTGTTTCTCGCTTGAGTCGGTCAGAGAGCGGACATTCTACTCCTTTGTCATATGACTTATGACATTCGCTACCACAGGAAAACGCTAAACAGTCTCTAGAAACGAGTGAGGTTATAATATTTACCAGTAGAGGAAGTGATAAACAACTAGTTAACTTTAAAATTTCTTACTTGACTTACTTCCTTCTTTAAATGGAAATGAACTAGGAAAAACTTGTGTGGAAATTATTATTTGTTGTAAGAAAGCAGTACATTATGAGAAATATAAAAATAAAGATCGAAACAAGAAATTTGAAAGTGTACTTTGAAAGAAATGAATTAATATTTTATTTTTTTCTTAATTCACATTTATTTATAAATTAATTAAGCAGAATGTACTGCTAACAATATTCCCATGATGCAACATTGTTTTGGTGACATTAGTCTGTATAATACTTTTTATTTTCATTTAATAATATCATTACTATGCGTACAGATCATTGTTGTGTGGGCAGCTCTCGTTACACAAACGCGAATCAAGAGAATAAGGCATTATGAGAATTTAACACATACTCTGCCGCCACAGTTTGGAACTACTTTCGTTTACAACTAAACGTACGTAATCTATTTTTGCTCTTCAAACAATAGGCGACTTAGTTGCCTAATAGTTTTACGCCACGCTACGCAGGAACTAATTATTTCCCGTGTGTGGAAGTTCTACGTTGCCAGATATGCGAGGGTTTTTTGACAAGCAAGCAAATCTGTAGGGCTCGTGGCATAATGGTGATCGCAAACGCTTTTCACCACTGTGGCTCGGGTTTGGTCCCCGACTTATCCATGAAGCATTTATCGTGGACAAAGTGTGTTCGGGGAGATTTTCTCAGGATTCTTCCGTTTCCCCTGCTTCTTTTTCTACCATATCTCGGGGTTTGGGGTTACAATGGCTACCTAGCGCATTCGTCTTCTCCAACTGGGGCCCGGGTTCGATCACTGGTCAATATTTATAGAATTTGTGGTGTCTGAAGCGAGGTCTCTCTGCGGGTTTCCTCAAGATTCCCATGTTTCCCTGCCTCCCATTCTATCATTGCTTCATCGACATTCAATCCATTTTCGTTATTATCGATTTCATCTATTAATTAGATCACTCAATGACTTAGAAGTTTAAGGGCACTCAAATTGAAATAGTAGACAAAGCTTAGGGTCGAATGGATATTGTAATAAAATGGCGGTTATCACATTAATATACGTGAAGGTAATTGTGTGTGTGCGTGCGTGCATGCATTATTTGTAATAATGTGCATGATACGGACTTCAATGTATGGACTTACGATGTGATTATACTGTCATGGAAACGAAAGGTCGGTGTAACACCGTGAATATGCACAGGGGGAGCTAATACATTAAAAACAGTTTTATGAGAAATTATAACAATTTTTCAAAAAATGTTTGTAAGGATCGAACACACAGTTACGGCGAAAACAGCTATTTGGTAGAAATGAGGGTTGAAATCCGTTTATGTCATGTCACTTGAAATTCTGGCGTGAAATGCGAAGGTAAACTACCATGTATGTATGTGATTGCCTAAATCTATATTAA